ACCGTAATGACGAGAAGATTCCAATAAGTTACCCGACTTCGGGAAACTACGAGTTATCGGACGGGAAACAGGTCAAACAACGGGACAGTGGGACTCGGATTGCTCGGACCCGGTGCTGCTGCGAACAATGGCCACGTATAGACGCTCTTCACGACATGCTGCTGCGCGACTGGCTCGAGGATGGGAGGATCTCGCCGGAATGGTGACGACGATCGGAACTTGGTCACGGCCTGGTATCCAACAAGGTATCGAGGGTGATGCGTTGTAGTCGCGAGTTGATGATGGTGATCGGCAGTGGGATGAAGATGGCGGTTTAAGATGGGTTACGGGATGATGAGGAAAATAAAGCTGCGGCTTTAATCAATAACTAAGGGTTTAATCCCAACATTAAATAGCATGTAGGGTTTAGTCTTGACTTAATCTTCAAGACACACACCTCACACACTCACACGCACACACCCGCACGAAGTAAGTAAAATAAATAAAACTGGTGCATATATATATATATATATATAATTCACATGTTTATATTTAATAAAGAACATCACACATAAAACACTAAAGGATAAAAGACATTTATATTAATGTAAGTAATTATACCAACAAATAAATATAGGCAATTTAGACAATTAAATATAAATAAACACATTTCATTTTATTATAATATAATATTTAGACAATTAACATTTATAATAGTAATATTATTAATAACAACAAATAATAGCAAATTGGCATGTAATAATAATAATAGTAATAATAATAATAATAATAATAATAATAATAATAATAATAATAATAATAATAATAATAATAATAATACAATAGTTAAATAGGCAAATAATAATAAATATAATAAATAGTAATCTCATATAATCCTTATTCAAACGGGGTATTACATGTACATTATTATTATATTTTATATTAGTATTATAGTACCAGCTACATAACAAATAATTGGTCATTTTGGCATTCAAGATTCAATACCAATCTAACTTTGTAATATAAAAACACAAAAGTCAAATTATCCAAGCCAAAACTAAATAATTTGGCCGAATAAATTAATAAATGAATAAATAAACAATGCATTTGGTAGTTTGGTTTTAAAGACAACGTTTATGTTAGATCTCAGATGTTTGTGAGTGGTGACTTAAATTTAATGGATTGGTATGTATGTTATAATGAAATTAGACATGGCCACGGCCCTGCCTGTCGTCCCGGTCCCGGCCCCGGCCCATAGGTTGCCGGTTCTGAGAACCGGCCTATAAGTTATCGGTTCTGAGAACCGGCACTGTGGCTTTACGGGCCTGTCCGGGTCTTTTTTTTTTTTTGGTCCGGCCGGTCTGGGACAGGGCCGAGATCGGGCCGGGTCGGTTAACGGTCACCTATGGGAGGCCCGCCGGCACGGTAGGTCAGCCCCGTTGACTGGCCATGTCTAGATGAAATCAATACTCTTTGGTGATTTTGGTTTAAGAAAATATTTGAATTGGTGTGTTTGTTTTGATCAAAATTATGGAATAAATATGTTGGTTGTTTGTTTTAAATTTTAATGGAAGCAATTCTTTGGTTTAGTTTATATGTTTGTTCTATTTTGTCTCCGTCCTAAATAATACCGGTCCATTTTGGAGGGTGTCTTCCCGAACCGATTCATAGAAGCAGGACAAGTATCGGGACAAGTCAAATCCCGGACCGTCCTGGACTGCGCCCACCCTATGCAGACTGAGGGGCTGTCAAGATTCAAGGAGATCATTGACTAGATATTGCATTTGATATTGCATTTTTCTATGTTATTGCTTGGAAAACAAAGAAGCAAGCAACAATATCACGTTCGTCAGCTGAAGAGTTGCAGTGGCTCTCTCTTGAATGATGTCCATGTTCCTGTTTCTAATCCTGTGGTGTGACAACCAAGCTACTTTACACATTTTGGCAAATCCAGCTTTTCGTGAAAGAACTGAGATAGATTGTCACTTGGTTAGGATTTATTTTAAGACTATCCTTATCCCCAATGCAACCCAACTCAATTTAACAAGTAAAAATTATTTCTCTCTTCTCCACCTATGCTACCTGGACTCGGATATGGGTGGCGTATCGGGTGTGGAGATATGAGCATCCGACTCGTCAATAGTTTAGAAATCTTGAAGATTTTGGGCTAAAATGCCACCCGACACTCATACCCACACCAGTGTCGACACAACATGACACGGGTATTCTTCCTAAATAGAAGAGTCCGGGTAACATAGTTCTCCACCTACACAACTCAACCTTACAACCTAACTTATCTTTATCCCAACCCAACTCAACCTAAATATTTATTTTATTTTAATTTATTTAAAAAGTGCAATTTTGTTCCAAAACATAGCAGGTGTGGTCTCTATTAGAGAATGAAAAAAATATGAATTTTAGTATTTTTATTTTTGTAAACCGAAAAAATACATTTATCCAATAAAAATGGACAAATTTCCCATTCTCATACAAAAGACCAGTTGTGATCCATGGTCACGTTGTGGGCTGGGTCGCCAAAGTTGATGACCTTCTTTTTTTTTTTTTTTTTTTTTTTTNTTTTTTTTTTGGAGGGGGTGACACAAAATTTGGGATAAAATAAGTCTAAGACTAGTTTTGTTGCTTCTAAAAAGGTCTCTTCAGCTCTTCAATTAGCAGACATTTTACTAAGTCGTTAGGACTTTCTATCTTCAACACATTGTAATTCAAGCTTGGTCTTGTTGAAGTACCAACTTCAGGAGGCTGTTAAGTGTAGCATTTTCATGTTTTCGAATGTGTTTTTTCTGCTGTGTCTAATGGTTAGACATTACAAGGGGTATGTTAGTATTTTTACCTTTTATGTCTCTTTATATAAATGGCAGTTTAGCCGTTGGGCATTGTAACCGATAACTCTGTGATTTCTCAAGCTTTATCAATGGAGTTTACAAAATAATATTTCTCTCTTTCTATTTCACCTCTCTGTTAGTTATACCAGTTAACAGAAGGTGTCCTAAGTGAAAGTTGATTTTTTTGTAACACCTAGTAAACTTATGAACTAGGATATAATTTTATGCTTACATGGTGCTGTATGTTTTATATGTTCGTTTCTGGTTTGATTTTGTGTTGTGTTGATCTTGTTCATTCTGTGCCTTAAAATTAAAATAAGAACTACAGTGACATTTTGCCCCAAAATGGTGATTAATGATTTGTTTTTCATTTATTTAGTGTGTAAATTATAGGGAGTCGGGGATAGAAAGGATTGATTTGTGATTAGTTTAGTTATTGGTAAGAGAGATTTTAGGAACATGGGTTGCTCATGGAAGAATAAATTATGGAAAGTGAATCTTGATCAAATCATATAAAAATCAGGTATTATTGAAGAAATTATAGGTGTGGATGGTTGGGTATTAATGGAAAATCTTTGTCCTGAAGGTAAAATAATAGAAAAAGGTGTTATTATTGTAGGTGCTTTGGCCGTTGATTTTTAAGCTGCAACTGGTATGGATCATTGCATTCAAGATTCCAGCACACTAAGCATTAATGAAAATGCAATTAGTGTTGTTAGCTCCTCCAACTTTGGTGTTGCGACCCCTCTGAAGGTGAATTCATTAGCAGAACTGATGGATTTGAGAGGTAGCAAAGCACCAAACATAAGCACTGGTGTTGTGGTTAGGCCCACTGGTCTTATTTGTCGCCAGTCTCAAATCCAAGGCAATCCGCTCGTTGGCCAAGGACACGTTTTGCAACAAATAACAAGTCAGTGTACTGTGTACTATTTTCACTACACATCTAATTTTCTATTAGGACACAATAATTTATGATTTCTCAGAATGTGAAATGATCAAGTGTTTGTATCCATCACTAATATAGCTCCCTTTCTGATTGTTACTTATGCATGTCAGATCAGATGATCCATAATATTCACAATGCAGATAATGATATAATTGTTTGAATAATTGCTGAAATTGATTCAAACAATATTTTTCTTGAAACTTTTATAAATAATCGAGGTACTTCATTTGCATTTGTCCACAGGTAAGTATAACCTAAATTTACCACCAGGACCGGAAGCTGGTGTTGTGTTTGGGGTAGAGCTGCAAAAGCAGTGCCAGATTAGTCAACATTTAGATTTAGTACACAAGACCTTGACTCAAGAAAAATGCATCGAGAATAACATTTCAATTTCGAATTGTGATGGTGAAAATGGAGGCATTGATCTAAACCAGACACCCCAGCCTAGACCACCCAAGAAAATTAGAAAGAAACATCGACCCAAAGTAGTAATTGAAGGGAAACCAAAACAAACTCCGAAACCTCCTCCTACTCACTCTACAGGAAAAAGGAAGTACGAACGTAAAAATGGCATTCAAACTTCAGAATCCAAAGGCCGGCCTCCATCCAAGAGAAAGTTAGATTTTGAGTTGGAGAATGGATCGGAAAAGAAAGTTAAGCGATTGAACTGCCACGATATTGCAGAATTGTATGTGCCAATGACATGTATAGGGAACGAAAACACAGTGGGCAGAAAGAAACACCAACACCATGGAGAGACTACAAATAGTTTTTTTAATGAAGTTGCTCTTGAGGAGTCATTGCTTCTGGGAAATAGGGGCCCACCACTGAGAGACCATACCTTGAATGTCATTGCCAGGTCCTTCAAAATGCAAAATGCTAATACAAACCAAAGTATTGCTGCAAATAGGAATAGTCACTGTGTCATTCAGGCACCGGATGCATATTATAATAATAATAGTAGACTATCAACTTTATCGACTATGCCTCAACTTGTGCAGGAGTTGATGGGTGTAACTCAGACTCAAGCTGCTGACAAGATATACACCCACTCTTATCCACCTACTATCACGGACTACTCTAACAATCTATGGAACAATGGTTTATATACAAGCGGGGGAAGGAATTTTGATAAAGCCTCGTCTGGCCTACTTTCTTCTGTGGTTACAACCCAAGAACAAGACTTTTATGGACAAATTGGAAGCAGCTGCAGCAGCAGCCCCTTGGCGTTTGCACCAACTTATGACATTACACCTCAGAATATATCCACAAATCAAGACAATACACCCAACAACCTCATTCCTAATTGCTTCACCAACTACCCGAATTTTTGTAAGGCACAAAACACATACCAAAAAAACAACAATACCAACTTTATAAACCAAAATCAAACAAAACCTAAAACCATTCCATTAAATGATAAAATTAGTTCCACCGACCGTGTTGAGGTGAGCAGACAGACTGCTGCTGCTGCTGGACAGACATCATCTAACAAAAGGCCACAGTCTCAAGAGCAGTCCAAGAACAAAAGAAATTACCGGAATTCAGTCACAGGTAAAATTTTTTTCCCCATTTAATCTGTTGTTTTAAATGTTGGATACTAGCTCCAAAAATTAAAGTCTTTTTTTTTTTGAAAAAAAAAGCTAGTATTTTATATGTATGCATGTATTTGTATATATAATTTAATTTTTTATGTGCAGTATTTCAGGAAGACAAGTTGTTTTCTGTTGATTACATTACAAAGCTTTTGAAAGACTTAAACATCAGTAACAACACACACAACACACTTGTCCCCTACAAAGGAGATGGTGCTGTTATTCCGTATGAGGAAATCGATGTATTAAAAAAACGGCGGGCACGAGCTAGGGTGGACCTTGATCCTGAGACAAATAGGTTGTGGAATCTTTTAATGGGTAAAGAAGAAGGTGAAAAAATGGACACTGGTAAGCAAAAATGGTGGGAAGAAGAAAGAAAAGTTTTTCGGGGTCGAGTTGACTCCTTCATTGCACGAATGCACCTAGTCCAAGGTACTTACTTTCTCATTTTATTTTTGTTCATAAATACTACCTCGATAACCTCTATTGAAATCCGGCTTCCTCCTTCAATAGGTCAATATGTTTTTGTGGTAACGAGGGATTATTTATCTATCATTTGTTGTAAATTAATGTCCTCTTCTTTTAAATCATGGTCATCGTTCCTGTTATTTTTAGTGATATATCTTTTTTATATTTTCCTCTGTTGTTACCGATGATTGTCACAATTAGATTTTATTGATAATTCAATGTTAATTAACTTGGATGTTTTCTCCTACTCTTATCTTTGATATATTTGTGTGCATGATTTAAGCCCAAAAATAATCATGTATTATACAATAATGTAAAATTTTCATTTAAAATATTATTCCTTCAGTAAAAAAAAAAAATAATAAAAATATCTATATCATTTAATAAATCTAGAAATAATTTTTTAAATTCTACCTTATTGAAAATTTCACCTATAATAGTACACGTGATATAAACCTTTTTTATGCTAACTAGTACAGAGCCCGTGCGATGCACGCGATGCACAATTTTAAGGTCATTTATCCATTCTTATAATTATAGAAATGAATAAAAAAAATGTACGGGATATATATAGTACGTGACCTGTAATAGGCCAAAATGTGAACACGGGTGATGCACGGGGTGCACAATTTTAAGGTCATTTATTAGTACAGAGCCCGTGCGATGCACGGGGTGCACAATTTTCTAGTATGTGTAATAAAAATACATACCGTATGCACGGGACAGAAGCACTAAATGAGTCATTTCCACAGAGCTTGTCCGTTAAGGTAGCTCCTGAACACGGGTGCACAATTTGTAGTACGTACCATAAAATCAGAACAGATTTCCATACAATTAGATATTAAGTTAGATAATAAATAAAGCCTTTTTATTTTAGTAAAGATTTTACGTACTTTGTTTTTTTAATTATCGGATGTTATGAGAGTTTTTTTGTTAAATCGATTTTATGGAATATAATACAAATACAATTAGAGGATTGAACAAAATCAGAACAGATTTTCATACAATTAGATAATAAAAAAATTAGATAAGGAAAAGAAGGAATTAGATAAGGAATTTTGAATTTGACTTTTTTTTTTTGGATAGATAGACTTTACGTACAAATTTTGACTTCACTGATTTTATAAGATTTATTTGGACAAAATCAATGTTAATATGGAATAAGACAAATAAATAGAGTCTTTTTATTTTAGTAAAGATTTTACGTCTTTTTTTTTGACTTGTCAGATGTTATGGGATTTTTTTTTTTCTTAAACTGATTTTATGGGATATAAGACAAATAAATAAAATAATTAAATAATATTTTGGATAGAAATAGCAATGCATTAATTATGTTGACTTTTCAATCTACTAAATTGGGTAAATAGGATACCTTATATAATAAGTATAGATACAAATAAATAACATGCCAAAATTTTAAAGAATAATTAATGTATTTTAATTTATTATCTAACCATCAGTAATATCATTTAATGATGTGATCATTATCTCTTAAATGATAAATAAAATATTAATTTAATTTTTTTTTTTGTTTTTTATATACTCAAATAAAAATAAAAAATACTATCGACAAATATGAATTATAATATATATCAGTAAAATCATTATAGAAGTTAATAAAATTATTTAAGGAAAGCACAGATTTTGGCATACATACATTTCCCCTGTATGAGTATTAAAATGTAAATTCTTCACATGGATGATGATAACTTTCTTCTTGTTTTCTCAAGTGAAAGGCATATATATATATATATATATATATATAACTGAGGTGAAAGGAAATACACTGAATATTAACGTGGAGTGACTGTGTTTTCTTCTTCTCAGGGGACAGGCGATTCTCTAAGTGGAAAGGATCAGTTGTTGATTCTGTGATAGGTGTTTTTCTCACACAAAATGTCTCCGATCACCTTTCCAGGTAAACCAGTACTTTTGTATGTATGTCTTGATTGTAACAATCTACTTTTCTTGTTTTTATCAACTTCTCCTGGTTGGTTGCAGCTCTGCTTTCATGTCTCTTGCAGCAAAGTTCCCTTTAAAATCTACAGCTGTATGTTGCAAAAGTCCATTGATTGAGCAACACCATGAGGTTCGAATAACACATCCAGATGGAAGTTCTTACGAGGACAAAATTCTAAAGAAACCAGGAAAAAAGGTCATGACCCATTTAGTCGACCATCATACCAAGGACTTTGCAGAACCTATTGCTTTTCAATCCTATAAAGCTGAAGATGGGTTGAACCTCACCAAAAAATGTAATTATCGAGATGCCCCTCAACAACTCCACCAATATCTGGCAAGTTTAAATGCCGATGGACCTTTCTTTTGTCATCAGCAATTACAAAATGCAACACACAAGCAAAATGAAGGAGTAGCAAATTATCTCTATCCTCTTCTCCCATCTGCTAAATACTGCCCAAACTTGTCGTTGAACGTGGAAAAATGGGAAGAAGATGTTGTTGCATTCTTAGGAACAGAAAGCATATCATCTTCTTTGGCTTCAACTTATTTTGAAATTACCACGGGAACAGTAGGCGTAAATCACCCACATCATGATTACATAGGGCAGTGTTCAGAAAGTAGTTTTACCAGCAGACAAGATGACGCCCATAAATTTCAACAATCACCAGTAATTATCAGTAATGCAACTCCAAACAAACAGCCTCCATTGAAATCTGTCTTTTCAGATGAGTCTAGGAACAAGAATGACCAACATGTCAAAATTCATAAGGAGAGCTCATTTTTATCTGATTCCATGAAAGCTGCTGCCGAAACATTGAGTACTTGGACGAGTGGTATAGGTAAGTATAGGAATATTTATATCAACTTTTTTCTTGTAAAGGATATTTTTTTATTGACAATAAATTGTTACAGATATTTGTCAGCCTGAACCAGCTAAAACGGGCGAGCCATTAAATTCTTCCCACAAACAAGCCGCTAACTTGAGCTCCGCAAGAAAACGCAAGGTTGAGACGGAAAAGGTGGAACCATTTGATTGGGATAGCTTGAGAAAGCAAGTGCAGTCAAAGGAAGGAAGAAGCAGCGAGAGAGAGGACTCTCTAGACTATGAGGCATTACGAAAGGCTGATGTTCGTGAGATTTCAGATACAATCAAGGAAAGGGGCATGAACAATATGCTAGCTGAGAGAATGAAGGTTTGTGGATGATATAATTATATTTGCTTTTAATGAAACTTAGTATCAAATTATTATTTTTTTGTTGGCTATATTAATTGCACAGAGTTTTCTCAATCGCCTGGTGAGAGATCATGAAAAAATTGACCTAGAATGGTTGAGGAATGTTGAACCAGACAAAGCCAAGTATGTTTTTCTCCTCAAGAAGAACATTACCACATACATTCTTTAAGTATCTCCAACACAAGCTTATATACAAGCCGACATCACAATGCAAAGCTATATTTTCCCTAACAAAAAAGCTTCTGCCATGCCAGGGATTATTTATTGAGCATATGGGGACTAGGCCTAAAAAGTGTGGAGTGTGTACGTCTTTTAACACTTCATCATTTGGCTTTTCCGGTGAGTACATTTGCATGCATAGCGACAAGAATACCCGATAATTTATGACTGGAAAAGGAATCTTGCATTGACTGTTAACTCCACTCCACCTGTGGCTGTTAGGTGGACACAAATGTTGGACGCATTGCTGTTCGACTTGGATGGGTTCCTCTACAGACACTTCCTGAGTCACTCCAATTGCATCTTCTTGAACTGTAAGCATATGCTAAGCATTCATCAGTTATAAAAAAAGGGGAAAAAAAAGTATATTGACCTGGGCCCGGATGCTAATTGTGTTTTTTATTCAGTTATCCAGTGCTTGAATCAATTCAGAAGTATCTTTGGCCAAGACTCTGCAAGCTGGATCTGGAAACGCTGTAAATTTGTGTTAATTAGAATTTGCATCTCTTAATAATTACAAGAATATCTATCTACCTTTTGACAAATCCCAGGATATAACTTACCTCATTTATATGTTTGGGCACTACAGGTATGAATTACACTATCAAATGATTACTTTTGGGAAGGTATGCCCTTGCTCTTCCTAGTTAATTGACAGTGATTATTATTATTATAATGTACCCGAAACAAGATGGTGAGTGAGTTTGTTGAATAATTTGTGCATATTGGATCTAGGTTTTCTGCACAAAGAGAGAACCAAATTGTAACGCTTGTCCAATGAAAGGAGAATGCCGACACTTTGCAAGTGCATTTGCCAGGTTAGCTACACCTGGCAACCACACGGCGGACTATTTAGAAGCAAAACATATAAATGAATTTTATGGATACATGGATTTAAGATCTCCATGTCTCTATCATGCAGTGCAAGACTTGCTCTTCCGGGGCCTGAAGAGAAAAGTATAGTCAGTTGTGCTGCTCCAGTCGCTCCCAATAGAAGACCTAATATGATAATCAGCAGCATAGAAAGTGGAAGAGAGCTGAGTGGGAGTTGTCAACCATTAATTGAGGAACCAACATCTCCAGAGCCACCCATCACTGAGGTTTTAGAGAGAGATATTGAGGATGCATGTTATGAGGATCCTGATGAAATCCCTGTCATAAAGCTTGATGTTCAAGAATTCACCTCAAACCTACACAACTTTACGCAGAAGCAGTTGGAAATGGGAGAAGCTGACATGTCAAGAGCTCTAGTTGCCTTGAGTCCAGAAATAACTTCTTTACCAATACCCAAACTAAAGCATGTCACTCGACTGCGGACAGAGCACCAAGTGTTAGTTTTGTATAAAAATTCCAATTCCAAATCCTACTTAGTTTAAAGATGGATCATCACTGCTATTTCTTTCTTTCTCTCTGCAGATACCAACTACCGGACTCACATCCACTTCTCAAAGGGGTTAGTTAGTTGGATATCATCTACTTTCAACTCTACTCTCATTTGCACGCACATGATTCTCATTCGCAAACAATTAATTAAATATGTAGATGTATAGACGCGAAACTGATGATCCAAGCCCTTATCTTCTTGCTATATGGACTCCAGGTAATAATAAGATATGTAATCTTAATCTTCAAATTAAAGAAACAAGTTCACCAACAGATTGTATTCAACCTCCAGAAAGTAGATGCAGTTCTGGGGAAGGGGAAGGTGGTGGTCTGTGCAACAATGGAACATGTTTTTCGTGCAATAGTACAAGAGAAGCTCATGCTGAAACAGTGAGAGGGACAATTCTAGTGAGCCCACAACTTGTATTATGTGATTAACCATGCAGTAATAGTATCTTTTCCTTTCTATATATATGCTTTTATTCATTTATCTTCCCCATGCAGATTCCTTGCAGAACAGCAATGAGAGGGAGTTTCCCTCTCAATGGCACATATTTTCAGGTCAATGAGGTAATAAATAAGATCCTTAATTTCTTCATAGCATAGCATGTCCAATGTAAATGACGACAAGTGTATTTTGCTTTTAATGCAGGTTTTTGCAGATCATGAATCCAGTGTGAACCCTATACATGTGCCAAGGAATTCAATTTGGAACCTGCCAAGAAGGACAGTTTTCTTTGGGACATCTGTCTCATCAATTTTCAAAGGTAATCAAAACAAAACAAAATATCAATAACAACAATAAAAACAACCAAGTGACCTCAAGTTTTTACCTCTGCTTTTGCTAGGCCTATCAACTGAATACATTCAATACTGCTTCTGGAAAGGTATAATAACTCCAATTGTTTTTATTCTGTTGTATATTTGTATTTATACAAGTTTGGTTTTAAGAAATTGCATCACAGGGTTTGTATGTGTCAGAGGATTTGACAAAAAAAGTCGAGCACCTAGACCTCTAAGAGCTAGATTACATCTCCCTGCAACTAAGTCGTCAAAGCCGTAAGAAAATGTTGGAACTTGTCAAAAATCTGTCATCTCCCAAAGAAAACACTGCAGAAGCTAACAATTATTTCACATTCATTGGACCACTTGTGCGAGAAGCAGCAGCCACTTAACCTCTTCTTTGTCATCGTTTTATGTACACCATTGTATGTGGCTTTTTCCTGTTTCTTGCTCAAACTACAGGTAGGCTGTACTATTTTTACATCAGAGAACTAAATTGTCCGTAGATATTCATTTATTTGACCCATCCATTATTCCTTGATAGAACAGAACGTTCACAGGAATTTCACTTATCTATATATGAACTAGTGCGTAGCCCCCGTGCGATGCACGGGTAAATAATATTAAATAATAATTATAAATAGGTCTCGAGTTCAATGTGAAGGGGAACGAAGCATGCCTTATAAGTGGCTGTGGATACCTTCACTAGTGTGACGCGTTTTGGTGAGTAGCGCTCCCAAAGGCAAAACTGTGCGGGCTAGCGGCCCAAAGCGGACAATATCACACTACGGGTTAACTGGGCTGTTACAGATGTTATCAGAGTCAGTACCCCGTAGGTCAAATTTATATTAGCAATTACACTTTAGAGTATTAACTTTTTTAAGGAAAAAAAATTCTGTTACGATAATTTTTTTAAAAAATATGTTACAAAAAATACATAAGAGATGAAGTTTTTTAAATTTATCGAGCGATGATATCCTATAAGATAAACAAAATCTGTTATTTTGTTAACCTAAAAAATAGGAAAAAGGGAAATATTACAAAAACTATCGCCGGTTTTTAAAGGGAAACAAATCAACACAATCTATTATTTTGTTAACCTATAACATAGGAAAAAGGGAATCATCAGAAAAACCAGCGCCGCATTTATTCATTAAATGATTTTGGCGGTAAATTTTGGCGGGAAATCATAAAAAAGTTATTCTTTTACCGGGAAATCATAAAAAGGTTATTCTTTTTATATAATGATAGAATATGTTGATTGTCAAATCAATTGTGGAAATCTAAAAAATGTGAGTCAAAGGTTTGACTTACCAATTATGGAAATGTTGTTGGAAATTTATGTTTTTTGATCACATGCTTAAAAAATTTGGTTTGAGATTTAAAATCATTTACGGTCCACACATTAGTTTGGACATCCAGCTAGAAATTTGGATCAAATATTTTTATGTTACAGTAAAATATTTTTCAAAATCATCTGTTCACGAACTTATCCCATGTTTGCTATTTTTTTTAAACAGTTTGGTTTATACTAACATATCAGATCCAATTTTCTTCCAAGTTTGTTCACGCGTTTTATGCAGTATAAAATATGTCCCAACCAATTATTTTGAAAGAGAATTAATAAACATATATTATGAAAATCAATAGAATATAATATATATTACAAAATTTTGTCAGTTGTTAAATTGATAATACACTAGGTTTGTTAAATTGATAAGTAGCCAGACTTACAAAATCCTACCCTTATGCATAAATAAGTTTAGAAAAAACTTATTGTTACTTACAAAATCCATCGCGACTAGTTTAAAGAATCTCATCCCTCACCTATCTTTTCACGATTGCACTTGTGAATTATACAACTGCATATATAAAAATTATATTTTTATTACACAATATTTCGGTTTTGGAATCTCAATTTGTATTTGTAAATATGATAAATTTGCATAAATTGTTAAGCGTTTCCATTACTCTTAAATAAAATTGATAAACCGTGGAATTGGTAAGTGCATTAAATCTCAATATGTACTTGTAAAATTGATAAATCTACATAAATGAATTGTTAAGCGTACAAATTGTTTTATTTTTTATAGTAACAATGTAAAAAAATAATAATAATAAAAATAAATTGTGCATTTCATGTGGAAGTAACATCTAAATCTACACACAAGAAGCTTTAGCGAGGGATAATGTCTTTATTTAGGGTTTATAGTATTTTAGATACTTTAACCAAATTGTTAGACATTATTTTTTACATTGTCCATCTCTCTCTCTCTCTCTCTCTCTCTCTCTCTCTCTCTCTCTCTCTCTCTCT